ATTGCCAAGCTCGGCGAACAGGTGAAATGGAACTAATCAATCTGCCCACTGTTCTGCGTAACACATACACTGGGTCTGCTGAGAAACTTAATCCTTGTGCAAAACCATTTGGGTTATCCGTTTAAAATTTCGAGTCTGCCATCCACTCTATCACCAGCCTGTTGGTTGTTGGTAAGTCATTCTGTGTACTTCTTTTGCTTATAAAAGTTCCCTCATCTCTTGCTTCATCAGGTTAAATTGATTTGTACTTTATGTTTTCCCTATGGCTGGTTTCACCGTTGCCCGTAGTTTGCGCTATCCAACTTTCGTTCACAAATGTGAAGTATCCCAGGGTTTATCAAAGTACCACTTCCTTTGAAATAGTGTTGCCTCATACATTTCGTGTCAAATATTATTTGTGCTCATAGAACAGTCCTTAGTCTGTTTCAATAAAGGATACTGCTAACTCTCCAGAGCTTTTCTTTTTCTGCAGCTCCTCCTCTTGGAAAAAATTCCTGAATACAGATGTCAATGCTCTGTTCGCCAGCCTGTTAACCACCGGTTATCCTTTTGAACCCGGCGACATCCATGATCCTAGCAAGGCATTTCTCATTTGGAATCTTTATAAGGTTAATACTTCAAGCACTCACTTTTCTTATCCAAGTTTTCTTGATCATTTTGCACTATCGAACGATTGTCTCAAATTCTCTTCGCTTGAAGTAAAAAAAGTCCGTATGAAATAATTTAATACGCACTTCAATAAATGTGGGTTCAGCACTACTCAAGCTACACATGTGCTTTCATTTTTTATAGATTGATTTAGATTACATAGGCCATCCCAGTACATTATTCACACTATAGTCATACCCTCACAATGAGTTCCCCTCTTGGTGTTCACTGGGTTTTCAAATCGAAGTGATCGTTGAAAAGCAGGTTATTTGTCGGTTTATGGCTGTACCTGCTCCTTTCTTGGGATATCCAAAATGCAGTTGTGTGTACCATCTCCCTAGTTTTGTGTAAAAAATGCGGGTGCATTTGAGGTTCTTGCTGTAATGCAGGTCGAATATGTGAATGCTGGAGAATGATGATTGTTCGGTGGTTTTGACCAGTGTTGAATAACCCAACCCTTTTAATTATACCAACCTCACTATTCCAGCTATGTATCTATGATGTTTAATTGCGATTAACCAATTTAAAATTTTGATGTCTTGGAGTTAACGGTTGGCCTGTTTTTTCAGTCATTTCACCCTTGATGGTCGACTGTCACTAGTTTAGTCGAACTGGCTTCGAAGATTGTTCATGTCGTAATCAACTCCGGTTCCTTTTGATCCCAATTTCTCTTCATCTCATTGTTTATGATATTCCAGAAAGAGCTAATGGAATTTCTGAACCGGAAAACGTTGGATCTGTTGTTGGACTCGCTTCTGCGTCGAAGTTTGACCTTCACACCGAACCCCTCAGAAGACTTTGACGAACAAAAACAGAAATTTATCGAAGCGGAGACCGCGGTCCATCGGTGGGTACGCAACGAACTGTTACCTGCGGTGATTTGCCAGTGCCCTCAAGCTCTTGTAAGTGGTTTTTGTTTGTAAATGTGTAATTTTGGTTGTACTTTTGTTTGCGTGGTCATCAATAGTCTTGTTGACATCAGGTTTCTGTCGTACCAGTTGTGGATATCTTTTCAAAC